CAGTTTTAAAAAAATGTTTTGATTTTGTTTTTCCAATTCTTGCATATGATTTAATAACTAAAAAAGTAATTTTTGATTATATAAATTACAAAATATATTTTTATGTTGAAATCAAACTGCTTACCAATTCTAAAGTTTCAATGACAATATCTGTATCTCCTTGGCACAAAAAAATATTAGCTTTGAGCCATAAAACCCTTAATAATATGAAAATATTTTCTTCATTTATAATATCTCTTCTAACACTTGTAAAAATTATATGCCCTAATTCTTCAGATGGCAATCCTGTACCAAGTTTATCTAATCTAGAATAAATGATATATTTTCATTATTTTTTTAATGCGAAATGAATGAATAAAAAAAAAAAGAAAACATACGTTGAAGAAGGTAATATATCTGGTTTATTGCTTAACCATTTATCTGTGTGAAGTTCACCAAATAATAAAGTCATTTCAGCATCTAATTTTAAAATATCATCATTTATATCTTGTTCAAATGGTGATGGATGAGGAATGTGTTCTCTGCATTAAAGAGAAAAAAAATTTTATGATTGATCATATCATATTTATATAGAAAAATATTTTTATTTGATATACCTCATAAATGTATATGCTTGCAAATATATGTCTAATATTCCTTTAGACCATTCTTGATTCCATTTAGTACATAAAAATTCTGTATACTTTGCTATAATTATCATTAAGTTATTCTTATTACTGTGTTCATTAATAAATATATTTACATCAGCTATTTCACATTCTGTGCCGAAATAATTTTGTTGTTGACTATAGACAAAAAAAAGTTATTATCAAATTTTTTTTATATACTTTATATCTCTTAAATAACTACCTCATATCAGGACTCGGTGATTTCGAACTCTCAGAACTTTTAACTGTTTCTATAATATTGCTATTATTTTCTTGATTAGCAAACAATTGATATAAATCCATCGTATCCATAGAATCATCCATATTTTTAGAAGGATCATCTTTGGTTAATTTTACAGTTTCTGGTCTAAAATATTAAATATGATTTATTTATAACAAGAGTATTATAGATTACATAAATATAAATATATTTTTACATACAGCAATGTGCTAGGAAATATTCTTCTAAGAGTTTCTTCTAATTGAACATCATCTCTTTCAGCTTCTCTTCTATTTGAACTTCTAACTCTTGCTGAACGTCTCATGCTATTACAACTCCAAGCCCATTGTTGTAGAAAACATAGAGCACTTCTTCTTCTTTTTTTTACCTTTTGTACTTCTTCTTTTCCTTCAATTTTCTCAGATAATTTTTCTTCTGTCTTACATTGTGGTTTGTCTTCTTTTTTTAAATTTTTTTCATCATTGGATTTGTTACTATCTTTATCACTAATATTATCATTTTGTGCTTCATTATCAGCATCATCCATTATTTTATCTAATTGCAATTTATCTTCATTTTCATGTACTTCAAAGTTATTTTGTTCATCTAAATCATTTTTTACTTGATTTTGTTCTTCAAACTGTACAGCATCTGTATCTAAAATTCTTAAAGGATCTTCATCTTCTATTATTTGTACATCAGTGGAACATGATTTTTTGTCATCTTCTATTTCAATTTCCATTAGAGATTCAGTACCAGCACATGCTTGATTGTCATCAGATGTTTCAAATGGAGAATTTGTTTCATCTGTTTCCATCTTCATTGATTTTTCAATATCATTTTCATTTTTTATCATGGCACTTTGTAATATTTCTTGATCGGTATTAATATCATTTTCTGTCTCAGTATATGTTTTAGATATCTCCTCAGAATTTTGAACAATTAAATTAATTCTACTAACAAAACTTAAGTTATTTTCTGCAATATACCTGTGCATATCCAATAAACATTCTCCTAAATCTAACCAAGTATAATTTTTTATGGGTTTCCTTAATGTCAAATCTGGCAATGGTTTAGGACAGAATTCTTTTTTACAAGCTTCTGCCCATTTTTTGGCAATATCTTTTGCTTCTGCTATTAACTTATCTCCTATTAAATGATCATATTGAGTATATAATGGTGGATCTAATTGCCAATCACTATTATATAATTTATAACATTCTTCAAGGCATGGAATGTCTTTAAATATTCTATCACGAAAAGCTAAACCTTTCACATAAGTAGGGTCACGTTCTAATGCCATAGAAATGTATAAAAGACAATTCATATAATCAGGAACTGCATATAAGGCAGTTATCATATTATCTAAACATGGCCAATGATTTGCATTACATTTTAAACCTTGCTTAAATGATGAACATGCTAATTCTAAATTTGAAATTTTCAAAGCTAAAGTACCTATTCTATACCATAATGTTACATCTGTATCATCTAAATTAGCTGCTTCCCAATAATTTTCTATAGCTTCATCATAATTTCCTAATATAGCCTGTATAGCTCCAATATTTTTGAAACAAGAATATTTTAATGACAACATTGGTCTAGATTTACCATCGGGTATTTCAGGTTTTTGAACTTCATCCAACAATTCAGTTTCTAAAAGATCTTTAAAAATATTAAGTGCATCTTCCTGTTTATTTTCTTTTAACAATACTAAAGCTTTATTATATTCAGTAAAAGCTATTTGTTCCTGAAACAAACATGTATGAAATAAATTTTTTATATTTTAATGAAGCATATGTCAGTAATAATGAATAATAAATTTTTATTTTTCTATATAAAAAATAAAAAGAAAAAAAAATGTTAATAAATTAAATGAATTGAATATCATATCATATATCTAACTAAATATGTTCTTTGAATATAAATAATTTATAATATATAATTTAAAATAGTTCGAAATAAGAGATAATTAAATATAAAATATTAAATTATTGTAAATAGATATCAATCAAAATAGTTCTTATAATCTGATGTTTCATATTACTTTATATAAAATTTCTATTGTATAAAAATCAAATTTTCATAAATGACAAGTTTATAGGTTAAGTTTTATAAGTAGTAAAAAGTTAATAATTTCGACACATACTTGAGCTTCTTTTGTAATAGTTGGTACATCTTCTTCTTCACTTTCTTCACTAGACTCTTCGTTTAGTGCCGATATCTTTATCATTTTTAAGATTTTTCCTTAAAAATTGAGATTTATATATAAAATATCAACAAATCAACCGGTTTTTTTTAACACCGCCATGCTACTAAGCATACAACGTGCTAGTTTGTATTTATATATTTATATAGGGTGGTTAAAAAAAAAAATATTTGTTTCTTAATAATTTTAAAATGTTTTACATTTTTTATAAAAATGTAATTCATGCATATCTTTATTCTTTATACATATATTGCATACTGTTTATGTGAAATAATTATAATGAAATTATTATTTAAACACCATATATATGTATTATCTATGAATTTTCGAGATAATTTTATGCACACGTTTCGCACATATTGTAACGTGTATTTTTATTTTATATTAATAATATAATTATTTTATATGATTTATTTAAAATTTTATATTTATATAAAATTTTGTAAAAATTTTATTATGTAAATTTATCAATATCAAATATTTTTAATTATTTTGTATTTTTTATCAATTTTTATCAATTACTATAAATATTATTTTATTGGAATTATTAATTTATTTTCTCAATTTATGAAAATAAATGAAATACAATTTTCTTAGATAAAATAAAAATAAAAATTAATATTGAAAATAAAAAAAGTAAATTTAAGAATTTTACAAGAGGAATTAAAAAATATAATAGGTCATTGAACTATTGTATTTAACATGCTACAATGTTTATGATTTGGGGTAAGTATTATTAACAAATTTTCTTGTATGTACTTGTTTATAAGATGATAAATTTAATTATTAAAAATTTAAACATTGCATTAATTTAGTTATTAAAAACATAAATAAAAAATGAAATATAAGATTTAGCACAATACATACAAGATTAATATGAAACTATTTATAATACTTTTTAAAATATTTGATAACAAAAAAATTAAAAGAAAAAAATTAACAAGAAATTTAATAATTAAAATACAATGGTATATATAAAAACACCAGTTTAAAAAATTTAACTACATTATTCTTAACATGTTAAATACATTTCCATTATAAATCATATAAAAACATTTTATTTTATGGTAGATAATAACTATTATAAACTATTATTTGTATTTCCTTTCTTCCTAATAGCTTATTAAAATCACTGAAATGACAACAAATTAAATAAAAATACTAATATAGAAATAGAAATTGTTATAATAAATAGAATAAAATTATTCTTATAAATATATATAGAAGTCATTTTTATAGAAAGTTTATGTTAACATTTTTTGTTCTAAAGTTTATCTTAATAAAAATTAAAATACATTAATAATTATGTTGGCACTTTTACTTTATGCTATAAATAATGATTTTTTACTAACTGAAAACAACAATATTAATTGAAATTGTTATACAAATTTAAACTTATTTTCCAAATACAATACAATTAAAGTTTAAAGTACATAATGAAATAGTTATCAGAAACTTATTGTGATAAATATATACATTGTAGGAGATTGGATCGCAGATGGAGTGCAATCTGTAGACATGCGAAGTTTCCTTGATTCTGTAGTTATAACAAATAAAAGTATTGTAAGGAGAATTCGCGTGTCTCCCTATGAAATATATAAAACTCATTGGCATAATGGTGAGATATCTTTAGATAAGATAAAGATTATTAATTTCTGTTATCATATCTTTATGCAGTCTTATAAAATTTGTTTCTATTTCATAACTTTCTTACCATAAACTATCAATATTTATATCAATATTTGTTTTTAGATCCCGAAATACAAAAACATTATTGGGCAGCATCTTTTCTTTTACCCATTGGAACAATTTTTATTCTTGCTTTGATAGTTCTTTTAATGGTAACATTTTCTTCATAATTTTTCAATAAAATAATCAATTATATTTAGAAATAATGATTAATTTAATTTTATGATCGTTTCAGGTTTTGTTCAAAAGGTGTCCACAAATGATTGCTGCGATTGTCACATCAATTCTTGGTGTGATTATTATATTTACAGTACTGGTATCAATTAATCATGCTCCAATTTACGCTTGATATTTTCTAATATTTCTTCTTACAAAATACAAAATTTAATATTTTCTTTTCTAATATGTTCAAAATTTTACAGACCAAGATTAATATAAGGATTACTGTGCCATCAATGCAAACAGTTACGCATGCATGTATATACTGAATATTTTTATATTCTGTATACTCTTATAATAGAAAAACAAAATATATTATCAAACAATTTTTATATAATTTTATTACTAGTTTAAATGTTTTACTTACTACTAGCGATTTTTTTTACTTAATTTTATTTCAATCATATCCTTTGATACGTTTATTACTTTTTCTTTGTATTTATCTAATGCTTGTTGTAATCTCTGGTAATTCTAAAATTAGCATTTCTATTAATATTTTTATAATGACTGAATTATATAGACTGAAATATTTAAATGGAAAAACTTAAACGTCTTCGTTATTTTTATGAAAAAAATATTCAGAATATAATTGAAAAGTGGAAAAAATTAAAAAATACAATTTATCATAATAAACAATATGATATCAAAAAATATGAAGTAAATAATTGGCTGAAGTATATAAAAATACATAGCAGGAAATTTTTTAAAAATGATCTATTTATATCTTTTAATTTCTATTTATTAAAATAAAAAATTAATTTTCCATAAAAATTGAGATTTAAAAAACGAGCTTGCTACTCCACAATTTCATTAACTTATAATATAAATATTTAATTAATGCAGACCGTGTATCTTATTGAACATATTTCAATAAAAATTCAATAACTATGAGCCCACTAATAAAAGTTTAATATTGTTGGAAATATGTAATGTACACTTCATTAGATTAAGTTATTGGAATAGAACAATTATCATTTTATTTTTTATAGAATCTCTATAAGAATATGAAAAAAAAAAAAAAAAATTTTTCAAATATCAGATTTTGCCTTTGAAATAATACAACTTAATCTTGAATATTCTTTTATAAAACCAAAAATAACGAAAACATTTAGTTTTTTCTATTTCAATGCTGCATCCTATATAAAATAAAAAAATGCATACCTCAGAAAAAATAGGTTTCTCACTAATTCTTTTAATTCATATAAAAGTACTTCTAATGTATTAAGTGGTAACCAGACTGCCATTTGAGTTACAGATGTTAAATATGTTTCAAGACCAAAATTTTCTATACCATTACCCAAAACAGCATTAATGTATTCAATCCCTAAATCACTAGCTTCTAATATTCTACCAGTATTTAACATAAGACGAAGAAGTTCTGCAGCATTTCGTTTCTGTAATAATAATAAAAAAAGTTGTAATTATATAAATGAATAAAAATTTTTAAAAAATTATTTTATGTTATTAGTTATTAAGTTATTACCTTATATGATATTAATAACCATTGAGGTATAAACGCTCTTTCTTGAAGTAATTTTCGGGCTACAGCTTTATGTAATTCGCTACATCTATCTTTTTCATGTTCTAATGTCAAATATTCTAACAGTCTCCAAGCAGTATTTGTAATATTTGTATTAGATAAACCAATATCGAATATATCATTTTGAATAAGCCAATCCCATGCATTTGAATCTTCTCCTCGACTTAATCGTATACATTGTGAAGTTAAACTTTCAAGTACAGAGCTTTTATTAATATTAAATTCATCACATAAATGCAACGCTGTCGTGTATAATCCAATAGTTGATAGAATAATAATAAGCTCTGAAGGTCCAGCATGTGAAACAATATCTGAATTCATTTTTGATACTTTCAATCTTGCATCCACTACATAGTATTCTTTTTTTATATCATTTAATTCGAGAACTTCAACTTGTTTCTTTATTTTATAGTGCAAAATATCTTCATTGCTGATACTTTTTCTTGTTTGAGAAACTTCATAATCCATTTCCTCTAAATAATTTTGATCAATTACAGGTCTAACAATCCATCTATATTTTTTAGAAACAAGATGTAATGCATTAATACATGCTAATAAACATTGAGCTTGTCTTGATACAATTACAACAGATTGTGATTCTTGGCTCAAACGCATAGCTTGTTCATACATTACTGATGCAGCTGTAAAACAAATTAATTATAATATAAAAAATATTTATTTGTTAATATCATAATGGATCAAAGTTTAATACCTTTTCGCATATTTCCTTTATTTATATGGAAGCTATATAAAAAATTATAATAATTATTTTCCATCAGATCTACGCTTCGGGCTCTACCTTCTACTATTCTTTCTAAGTCTTCGTACATATCAACATATGGAAATGAAATTAAATCTATTAATTTTTTTCGTTCAAACAGAGTTACTACTAATTGTCTCAAACAATCTACTCTACGCGCGGCATCTGGATTAGAATTTAAACAATTATAAGCTTTGGTATGATGACCCAAGTTTAAATGTTGTACAAATACTATTGAATGCAATGTTGGTAAATTAGGATCATCTTTATCAGCTATTAATATAGCTGTTTCAGCGAGTTCTATAATGCAGTCAAAAGCATTATGTTCTTCAAATAATCTGATAACTTTTAAATAATATTGAATTAACGAACTATTTTCAGATAGTACACTGGATTCGAGTAAGGCATCTGCTAAAAATTCATCCGTCAAAATTCCTCCAGAAGCTCGGAGAAAATGATCGCATGCTTTTTGCGCTTCTCCCATTTCAAGTAGCGCAACTGCTAAAATAAATTTTCTCGATGCAATATTCCATTCACACCATGTATTCAAGAGTCTTACATATTCTTGAACCAATAAAAATTGACAACTAGATAGTAGCCATTCAGGAAAGATAAAATTTCCCGATCTTGGCCAACTAATTAATTATTATTAAGTAAACATATAATTTAAAAATAAAAATGAAATATATATAAATTATAAATAATATAATATATATAAATTTTAAAAAAGGATACATAAGTTGAGCGATAAATGTAATATGTGTTAACATGCCATAATGCCAAGGAATTAAAGTAGTTGCATCTAAATTTGTATGAGCCATCAAATTATGAGCATGTTTTGCACCACTGTTTTGTATAAATAATTCTAATAACAACAAAGATCGATGTTGTTTAAATACTATATTCGCTCTTGAATCAGCAAGCTTCAATAATGCTAAACGCTGAACACTAGAATCTAATAATGATTGCACAGGCATTGGTAATGCTGTGGATTCACATATCCATGTTACAACGTAATAAGCTTGCATCAACACTACTGTCCTGGGTGCTAATGATGATTTTATAGAATGTAAAGATCGCGAATCAAACAATTCTGGTCGCAACAGTATTATTTGTTGCAAAATTAATAAATTCCTGCAGATTGCGAATCTTAATTGTGTTATTTGTGTTACACTTTTCGATATTGCCGAGATACCCAAATGACTACTAAAAAAGTGATTAATATTAAGTAATAATTTTGAAGCATCATGATCTTCATTAAGTTGTAACTTATTTGGTTGACCAAGATCATATGTTAATGTTTCCAATAACATTGCCATAGCACTGGATATATCTCTAACGTTTGACAATCTATGAGAGCTAGGATGATGTGTAATAAAATTACTAATCGGTTCTTCTGATTCTAACATTAATTTTGATAATAAATCATCAATAATGATGTCTGGACTTCTTAAATGATACATTTCTCTCTTTATCGCTATTTTAGTTTCTTCAGATAATTGTTCTTCTATTAATACCAATGCTGACATTATTATAATAAGATCTTGACATATATCTTCGTCTTGCGACAAAATTGGTGATATTTTGAATCGCGATGTATATGATTTCTCATTGCAGAACATTAAATATTCCAAAGCTTCCATTGGTCTCAAAAGTGAAAAGCACGATTTTTTAAGTAAAACTACTCCGTAAACGGTTGGTAGTAACAACAATCCAACTGGTCTCGTACTATTAGCATGATATTGTATAACACAAGAATAAAATTTTGACCAACAACGATTGGCGATTTCCAAGTAATCTTCATCCATAAGTTCATAATCCATAATTTCAGCCTGTATTTCAGCTTCTACTGCTTTTTCAGCTTCTACTTTCAATTCAGAGGCAGAAAGAATTTTATTCTCTATACAATTAGATCTTCGATATATGTTCAGAGCTTTTGTTATATCTGTCAAAGAAAATTGTCCAGGATAAAAAATATAATTAATATATGCTTGTCTTGGATCAGTATCAGCATCATTAAGGATATAATCTCTATCTGGTGTTTGTTCTAAGATTGCTGTTTCCCATTCAGAATTAACGCGCATACCACTCGATAATGATAATTGGGCATGAGTTACTTCAACTGTATCCATATCAGTAGTTCTCCATACAGCCCATAATCGAGTAATGGTAAAAAAAAAATCAACTAAATGTTGCTATAAAGATTAATATAAAAATTATTAACATAATATATGTATCATAATTAATATAAATATATATAAAAAATACATACATCTGGCGCAAATTTTGTACATAATCTCTTAAATTTAAATACACCATTATCTTGAATTGGTTTTAAAATACAAAATTCGCATCTGGAATTAATTTTAAAAAAGTCGCCAAGTATAATTCATTATTAGGACTCAATGTTTTTTTTAATATATGTCCTTGTGCACCTTCAGATGCAACATGATTATCTATTGTTATATCACTTACTGCTACACATTGAGCTTTATTACAAGACCACATACGAATATTACCTTCACGGCATAAAGCAAAAAGATATGTATCATTTTCACAATTATGTATAGTTAATGACATAGCCACATGGGCTTCAGAATTACGACCTCTGAAAGCAGTTGCAATACCACTAAGAAATCTTGGTACTATTGAATCTTGTTTTAATTCATTACTATGCACAAGGCCAGTTTTAATGTCTAGCCTTAAAAGGAGTATAGTTCCAGAATTATAAGCAAGAGCAAATAATGCTTCTTGTGGTGGAATAAACCATGATGCAGCTGCATGAGGAACTGGAGAATCTATAAAAAAAAATCCAATTATAATAGTAGATATATAAATATATAAATATTGTTTTTTACATTCTATCATAAGTTACTAACTTGTAGTTCCTGCATTTGTAATAACATGAAACATATGAGGATCTTCTATTGTTTTTTTTATATTCTGAGTAGATGTTTCACTAAATATTGACTGTGTACCTAAATCTTTATATGTATTTAATGAATGTTCCTAAAAAATAATATATCAATATATTAAAAACTTAATATTTATAATTACATGATATTTAACTCTTAAAAAATACTTACATTTTTATGAATTCGTTCGGGATGAGGAAATGATAATTTATGAATACTAGAAACAGTTGCTATTAATATAATTACTGAATTAATTGTTTCATGTATAGAAATTCCATCCAAAATGGGTGTGTCTGTAAATTTATATCTTACTCTACAATTAGCCAAATTAATATCTAAACTGTGTTCAACCAACTCAAGTACATCATGACAAATACGCCAATAAATAAATCGATTCCGTGTAAAATATTTTGAACCATCGTTATAAGAATAACCACCAGCTCGCTCTGGAACTTTTATATCTTGCAAAGTACTTTGACTACCGCCTATGAAATAATATAATTATTAAATTATATATGAATTATATTTTATTTGAAAAGTACAAATATAGGAATTAAGTAGAAATTTTGTTTAATAATATTCATTCATAAAATTGTTTTCATTTTAAAAGTGATATATGCTTTTATAAATGAAAAATAATCTTATATAATAAAAATATTGCTTTTTAAATTAATTTTAAAGTAATTTAAATTATTTTTTAAAATGTAATTTTATTTATTTAATAAAAATAGAGGTTATGATTACCTACCTGTATTCAACTTGATTTCATTCCATTTCTCTGGTACAGTTTGATCAGGTACAACTTCTCGGTAGCCCAACAGAAATTCTTCCATTTTTTTATTGTATTTTTGAATAAATAATATGTCAGTTTAACTTTTAAATTACATTACAACAATGCTCAAAATTTTAGCGGGTATCGAACATTGCGTGTAGTATCACGCTTTACGCTTCGCGCTTTGCACTTTGGCGCCCTCAATTTTACCTTCTGTTGTTAATTTGTACAATTTATTCAATATTTTTTTAATTAAAATTATAAATGATTTTTCTTTGAAAAATTCTTTAATTTATTTTTTGCGATTTAAAAAAATTATTTTTAAAATCATGTTTATAAAAAATAAATAACAGAAAAAATATTTAATTAAGAAATTATACTTATAAAAAAATAAATAGAAAAATGAAATATATATGTGTATGTATATGTATTTAATGAATACTATATTTGATATATTTGATTTTATTTGATATTTCTTTAAATTATTATTATAAGTTATTTGTAAAAAATAGATAAAATTTTTAAGTTTAAGTAAAAAATATAAGTTAAACAAAAATAAAAATAAAATAAAAATCAAAAGGAGGGTCGACGTCAACACCTAGGATCTGTGTGTGGAAGGAAAACCACTCAATGTTGTCAAATTAATGGGAATATTTTAAATTATATATGATACCGTTGCTCAAATACTTCGCCAGGTGCATCGGACCCGAAAGCACATTTTTTAAAACATATTTATATAGAAATATATAATTATATGAGCACTTTGGAGAAAATCATGTGCTTATGAGACATCTATTATTAAGAAGATGAATTACTTATGAATTTTATAAAATTTACTAGACAAAATAAACAAAATTCACATAAATGAAATATAAATGAGGAAATAGTACATAAAATTCTTACATTATTAATTTAATTTGGATTTATAAAAGATTAAAAATTTAATTTAGATATTTGGATTTTTTAATTTTGTTATGTAATATTTAGTTTTAATGTTTAACAATTAGGCGGTGTTTCAATTTATGAATTAGACAATTTTTGAAAATTGTAGATTATATTATATTAAAAAAAAGAAAATATAATATTAATTACTGTATTATAATAATATAAAATTAGTTTAATATTAATTTCTAAAAATTGAAAAACTTAAGTTTAAATTTGATAGAAATTAATAAAAATTTAATCTAATTTAATCTAAAATTAATCTTTAAAAATTTAATCTTCAATTAAAAAAAAAATTTACAAATTGCAAAATAAAATTTTAATTTTTATTTTAATTAATTTAGAAAAAATAAAATTAATTCAAAAAAATTAAAATTTGTTGAATAAAAGAAAAATCATATTCATTAAAATAATAATCAGATATTTGTTTATGTAGAATTATTATTATTAAAACGATATAATAATTTTTCTCAAAATTAATATTTTAATCAAATTTTTTTTTATTTCATATTTTTTGATATATATTTATTATATATTTCATGATATATTTTTTTCATTCATTTATACGTTATTATTTAATTCAATATTTCATTGTTATTTTATTTATTAATTCGTTGAAGATTAAAAAAAAGATTTAATTTTCGCGGGAAATGCTATGAATACTAAGTTTATGTGTTGCCATAACAATTCAATATGGAAGAAATAGAAGTTATATCAATCAAACAAATATTTATACAACGTGTTATTGAGAAGTAAGATTTTTTTTGAATATACTGAAAAAAGAATGAAAATCGAAGAGGTAAAAAGTACTGCAAAGACTCAAAGAATATCAGCTCATACACATATAAAAGGCCTAGGTCTTGATGAAAATGGTACAGCAATACAAGCTGCAGCCGGCCTTGTTGGTCAAGAAATGGCTCGTGAGGTTAGAATTATTTATTTAGAATTATACTAGCATATAAAAATTATAATTATTTCTAATATTTATCTATTAAAATATATATTTAGTTATCAATATTTATCAGTCATTATCTTTTTTAATTAATTTTTTCTGCATGAATTTTTTTTATTGAAATTAGAAAAATAATTAGATTTCTTTTTATTCCATATATTTTAGGCAGCTGGAATAGTTGTTGACATGATAAAATCAAAGAAAATGGCTGGTAGAGCTGTGTTATTAGCTGGTCCACCTGGTACTGGAAAAACTGCAATTGCATTAGCTATTGCTCAAGAATTAGGTAATAAAGTACCATTTTGTCCTATGGTAGGCTCAGAAGTTTATAGTTCTGAAATAAAAAAGACAGAAGTTTTGATGGAAAATTTTAGAAGAGCTATTGGTCTTAGAATCAAAGAGACTAAAGAAGTATTTGAAGGAGAAGTTACAGAATTAACTCCAATTGAAACAGAAAATCCAATGGGTGGATATGGAAAAACAGTGTCTCATGTAGTAATTGGATTAAAAACTGCTAAAGGTACTAAGCAGTTAAAGTTAGATCCTTCCATATATGAATCTTTGCAAAAGGAAAAGGTAGAAACAGGAGATGTAATTTACATTGAAGCAAATAATGGTGCTGTAAAAAGACAGGGTAGAAGTGATAATTTTGCAACTGAATTTGACTTGGAAGCAGAAGAATATGTTCCTTTACCTAAAGGTGATGTACACAAGAAAAAAGAAGTCATTCAAGATGTAACATTACATGATCTAGATGTTGCTAATGCTAAACCACAAGGTGGTCAAGATATTATGTCTATGATGGGTCAATTAATGAAACCTAAAAAGACAGAAATTACAGGTAAAAGAATTTGTAGTTAAAAAAATTATATATAATATATAATATTGGTAATAAAAATTTTAATTTGAAACTAAAAATATATTTATATTATGCATTATAGATAAATTGCGTAAAGAAATAAACAAAGTAGTAAATAAATATATTGATCAAGGAATTGCAGAATTAGTACCAGGAGTTTTATTTATAGACGAGGTACACATGTTAGATATAGAAACGTTTACGTATCTTCATCGTGCGTTGGAAAGCGCAATTGCACCAATAGTTATCTTTGCAACAAATCGTGGTCGCTGCATAATTAGAGGAACAGAAGATATTATATCACCTCATGGAATACCTCTTGATCTTTTAGATAGACTATTAATTATACGAACGCTTCCTTATTCTAGATCGGAAATAGAACAAATCGTCAAATTAAGAGCTACAACAGAAGGATTGCAAATCGAAGATGAAGCTTTATCAGCTCTTGGTGAAGTAGGTACAAAAACAACGCTTAGATATGTAGTACAACTTTTAACTCCCGCGGCATTAACTGCCAAAGTTAATGAAAGAACAATAATAAAGAAAGAAGATATTGAAGAAGTAGCATCATTGTTCTTAGATGCAAAGTCTTCTGCTAAAATTCTTACACAAAATAAAGATAAATTTATGAAATGAATGATTCGATTAATTGGTTACAATTGATATTTAAGTTTCCTGTAGCTTAAGTATAAGAAATTCAGTTGTATTATAAAATTAAGATCTTAAAAATAAAGCTAACTTTGTATGAAATGCATTCGTTATTTTTTTTTTTTTTTGATTCTTATCTATTTAAATAGCTAATTATGAAAATAAAGAATAAATATATAATATATATGCGCGTGTAAAGGTACTTAATTTCCCAATATTGTCTAAGATATTTTATAACTTAGGGTTACTAAAGATCAAGTTGTAATCAGAAATTGTGACATCACAAGATGATACGTCCTAGGGTATAAAATCTCTGTTTACATTAATAAACATTTAGTGTTCTAGATACTCTCTCTTTATTAAGTAAATACAGTTTTTAAACTTATTATTAAAAATTTAATTATTATTAAGTTTTAATAATAATTTTTTTTTGTAATTTGTAATTATAATTATGTTATACATTTTTAAATTAAGAGAATGTATGATGTTGAATAAATGTAATATATTTCGATACGCACATGGATTAACGTTAAACAACATACGAAAAGAAAAAGTTAATGAAATCTTCCCACAAAAACATGAATTTCAAATTAGACATATTGGTCCCCGACAATATGAACAATTGGAAATGTTAAAAACTATAGGATATAAGGTAATATATATAGTAATTTTATTTGATGAAAATGAAAATATTAATTTTTTAAAAATAATTATCAATTTATTTAATTAATTTAATTTAAAGAATTTGGAAGAATTAACAAAAGCGGCTATTCCAGCAAAAATTCTTTATAAAGAAAAATTGAAGATCGAACAACCGATTAGTAAGTAAAATAAATAATTTATTGGAAATAGTATATTAAAACTGGTTAGTTAAAAGAGAAACGTATATACACAAGACTAGATATGAAACACGTGCAAACTGATAACCCTGTGATACTGAAATAAACACAATATTAATATAAATATTTAATTAAAATATCTTTATTAATAATTTGGCACATTAAATATTTTAATAAAAATTGAATATTTATAAACTAATTGTTAAAGAAAAAAAACTGAATATCTTTCTCAGTTAAAATATTCATTAATTTTATTATAGAATAAATAACACGATTTTTTATTTCGAGAAGATTATATCTTAAGTCAAAGGTCAGTCTCGTGCAGTTAAATTTATTCACGTGATTTTCTAAGGCTGTAAATTAATTATATTTTTGTTTAAAATAACAAATATATTCTCCCATCATGATTGCAGATTGTGTAAAATAGCAATTGTATTTTAGCTGAATACGAACTTTTGAAGAGGATTACACAAATTTCAAAAAAAAACGATATATGGCGTTCGTATATTGGGATGGGATATAATAATTGTTGCGTGCCTCATACTATCATGAGGAATATGTTTGAAAATCCAGGATGGTATATTATTTTGAAATGTAATTCATAATGATTTTGACATAATTAAAATAATTAATAAAAATCATAGGACGACGCAGTATACACCATATCAACCAGAAATTTCACAAGGCAGACTTGAAGGTCTATTGAATTATCAAACAATGATATGCGACTTAACTGGAATGGAAATAGCGAACGCATCTCTTTTAGATGAAGGCACTGCAGCAGCAGAGGCTTTAGCACTTACTCACAGGAGCAATAAAAGAAAAAAATTGTTCGTTTCTGATAAAGTTCATCCTCAAACGATTAGCGTAATTGCAACGCGTGCCACTTCTTTAGGTCTTGATCTTGAAATTGGAGATGTTTTCAAAATTGATACCAGCGCAAAAAATATTTCTGGAATTCTTTT